CCTCGTGTCGGGCTCTGTGCTGACAGCTCAGAGCTTGGAGCCTGGTTTGGATCCTGTTTCTCCCTGTCTCACTCTGCCCCTCCCCCACATGTGCCTGCTCTCTAAAAAATAAACTTTTATTACTTTTTTATTTTTTTTAACGTTATTCGTTTGTGAGAGACAGAGACGCTGTGAGTAAGGGAGGGGCAGAGAGAGAGGGAGACAGGATCTGCGAGGCTTGAACCCACGAACCATGTGATCATGACCTGAGCCGAGGTCAGAACCTTAACCTGCTGAGCTACCCAGGTGCCCCAATTTTTAAAATAAATAAATAAACAAAATTAAAAAATATAGAACGGATATTTATCCTTTTAAATTATGAAAATATTTTTTTTGAATAGGTAAATCAGGTACATTGTACAAAATTTAAGAGTTTATGTAGACTTTATACCTGGTGTCTGATAATGAAAAGATTGTTATTTACTGTAAGAGTTTTTTTGGGTTTGAGGAAAGTACATTAACTTCTGTAATATTGAAATCAGAAAATTTAGGTAGATGAAGTATTTTGATACTGAGTTAAAATATACTGAAATAGGTGAAGTGTCAAAATACAATAAAATACCCAATGCTGAGTTTATAACGTACATGATATTTTTGAATGTGAGTTAACTTATAGAGCCCCTTGATGAAATATATTAAATATAGGATACAGGAGTATTTATTAGAAATTTGAAAATCTAATATTATAGGATGTATTAAGCACAAGATAACTCTGTTGGATAAGAATTTTGCCTTTAAGGGTACCTGGGTGGCTCCGTCAGTTATGCGTTTGACTTCAGCTCGGGTCATGATCTCATGGTTTGTGGGTTCAAGCCCTGCGTTGGGCTCTGTGCTGACAGCTCGGCGCCTGGAGTCTGCTTCCGATTCTATTTCTCCCTCTCTCTGCCCCTCCCCTGCTCATGCTCTGTCTCTGTCTCTGTCTTTCAAAAATAAATAAACGTCAAAAAGTTAAGATAAAAAGTAGGGGCGCCTGGGTGGCTCAGTCAGTTAAGTGTCCAACTTTGGCTCAGGTCATGATATCACACTTTGGCTCAGGTCATGATATCACACTTCTTGGTTTCAAGCCCCACTTCGGGCTGTGTGCTGAAAGCTCAGAGCCTGGAGCCTACTTTGGATTCTGTATCTCCCTCTTTCTCTGCCCCTAACCTGTGTGTGCTCGCTTGCTCGCGCTCTCTCCCTCTCTCTCTTTCTTTCTCCCTGTCAAAAATAAATAAAAACATTAAATAAAAAAAATTTTTTTAATTAAAATTTGCCTTTAATGTAAAATATGGAAATTGAAAGCTGTAAAATTGTGAAAAGGACCCAATAATAAGTATAATACAGAAAATTCTTTCACAGAGTTTTTAGCCTTACTGTGCGCCTGGTACTTGACATTTTGTCCTTCTGTAAATATGAAAAGAGTAGTAGCTGGGAAGGATATAGGTATTATAGAAAGAACATGGACTTTGGAATTTGACAAATTTAGCTTGGAATCCCAGCTCCCACCGTTTATCCAGATACATTTCCTGGGTTATCTTTAGAACTATTTTTTGTAAGTTGAACGTGCTGTTTATCATATAGATTAATTGTGGGAATTAGTATGTCTGTAGAACATCTAGTAGGATGCTTGACACATAGTTACTCAGTAGTTGGAAGATTTTGTTATTTTAAATTATATATTTCAGTCTAATATGTATGTAATATTGTTTGCAGGTAGAAGATGGGCCATCTAGTGTAACAGTATTATCACATGAAGAAGATGCTATGTCATTATTTAGTCCATCTATCAAGCAAGGTAAAACTTTTACTTTCTAATCAAAATATTGCATTACAAGATTACTGCTACAAGCTAATCTGATATTATTGGACTTACAGTGTTCCTTTTTGCATAATTCATGTTTCATAGAAAGGTACCTATCTTAAAATGATTTATTGCTTATTTTGTATTGAGAGAAGCAGGTTGAGATGATAGAAATTCTGTTTTGAATTGTTGAAACTTTCTCTCAAATAAAAATAGTTCTTATGTAAAATGAGATTTGAAGAGATCATCACCTTAAGGTCCCTCTCTGATCTGAAAACTCAACTTTATAAATTAGACTTGACTACAATTTTGTTGTCCTTTACTCTCTCACTCAAATTAGAAGAACTGTTGAAATTATTAATTTAACAAATATTTATCAAACAGGTTTTAAATGTAGGGACTATTCTTAGCACTGAGGATACTGTCAAAAAGACTCCACTTTGAAAGTGTCTGACTAGTGCTCCTTGTGCTTGGAATAGAGAGGTGTGGCACATTATTTGTTTTACAAAATTTGTGTGGGAATGAGTGTAATTGCTGTCTTCTGCTTTCTCTAAATTTGGACCATCTCCCACATTCTGGAGCAATCTTTTGAGGTGGAGCTTTGAAATATTTTTTAATAAGTACCCTAGATGATTTTTTACACCAAATTTCAGAACTGCTCCAGTTAATTTTTAGAACTATCATGCAGAGGCACTTGGAAAGTGACTTTCATCTTTCTGAAAGTGAGGACTATTTCAAGTCCTTTGATACACCAAGCATACTTCAGGTTATACACCAAACTGTAATTTTTTTCTTATATGAGAATGTAAAAGGAATTTAACTTCTGTTGGTATTTGTAATTTTTCTTAAGTAATTCTATATTTTTCCCTCTACAACTGGGGAGAGTAAAAAAAAAAAAAAAAAAAAAAAAAAGAAAAGGGAAAATAAAATTCTAGAACTAAGGGGGCGCCTGGGTGGCTCAGTTGGTTAAGCGTCCGACTTCAGCTCATGTCATGATCTCACCGCTCGTGAGTTCAAGCCCCGCATCGGGCTCTTTGCTGACAGCTCAGAGCTTGGATCCTGCTTCAGATTCTGGGTCTCCCTCTCTCTCTCTCTGCCCCTCCCCTGCTCATGCTCTCTCTCTGTCTCTCAAAAAATGAATAAACATTTAAAAAAATTTTTTTTTTTTAATTCCAGAACTAAAATGAAAGCTTAACCAACAGGTAATATTTATTGAGTACTTCACTGCCTGGCACTGGACAAAGTGCTTTAGCTACATCCTTCATTTTTAATTCTTGTTATTGCTAAGGTACAGAGAGGTTAAGTAACTTGTTCAGGGTCATATTGTTAGTGTCATAGTTGGGAATTCAAATTCATGATAGTCTCTCTGACTCAAGAGCCAGGGCACTTAATCATTGTACTATGTTTCTTTCTTTCAGGAAGATAGAAAACTAAAAATGTGGAAGATAGAAAAATAAAAGTGTGTGTGTGTGTGTGTACTATTGTCCTGTTAGTGTATATCTTTTTATTTGTTATATAAAATCTGAGTATTTAGCCATGTTATGGATTACATAGCCTTTAGTGAGCTTCCTGGAGAAGTTACTACATTTATTTGCAATTTTATTTCTATGAAAAAATTTCTAGATTTTAAGGAAATCACCGTTTCTTTTTTTTTTTTTTAATTTTTTTTTTTAATGTTTATTTGTTTGAGAGAGACAGAGAGACAGCACAAGCTGGGGAGGGGAAGAGAGAGGGGAGACACAGAATCTGAAGCAGGCTCCAGGCTCCGAGCTGTCAGTACAGAGCCTGAAGCGGAGCTTGAACTCACAGACTTTGAGATCATGACCTGAGCCGAAGTCAGACACTTAACCAACCAAGCCACCCAGGCGCCCCAAGGAAATCATAGTTTCTTATTGCAGAATAGGTTTAAAGTTAGATATCTAGTTTAAATAAATAGAATAATACTTATTTGGTCAGTAGTGGAATTTTTTATTTTGCCTTTTTGGTTGACGTGTAGATGCTCCACGCCCTACTAGTCATGCCCGCCCTCCATCAACCAGCTTGATTTATGACTCAGACCTGGCTGTCTCTTATACTGACCTTGATAATCTTTTCAATTCTGATGAAGATGAATTAACGGTGAGTATTCTATTAATGGCTAAGATTTATAATATCTTTTCCTTAATTTCATGTAGACTTATTTTTCAGAAGTGATGTGTGACTTGAACAGTATGTTTTGGCCCTGAAAAATAAGAAGTATTTTGGAATAAAATTTTATTAATTGGTTTCCTTTTTTTAAACTTATGTTTGAGCATTCTTGGCATAGTGTCACCTACAAACCATGTGTGTTTTTTCTTTATTTTTTTATGTTTGGGATGTGTGATTAAGTTTAATTTGAACGCTACGATATATTTTTTTTCTGCAATCTTTAGGAAGCAGAATTATTTTCCTATTCTTTAATCCTCTCATTTGAGAAATGACCCTGGAATTGACTCACTTAGATAAGAATAATAAGTAATTAACATTAAAATTGTATGCCTTGTCAATTTATTAAGGAATACCACTTCTTTTGAATGTTTGTCATCACAACCATTATTTTAAGACAGCAATATACTATAATAATGAAAAAGGAAGAAGAGGTAGTATTTAATTTTGAACATCCATTTGCACACAAAGGTGATTATAAAAGAAAACTTAAAATGAGGTTTGTTAGAATGTCAGATTAGTGAACTGAGTGCTGCATTGTCATAAAAGGGAATTCCATTTTCATCTGCATAAAGGTAGCTTGAAAACGTCTGTAGTACATTTGGTCTTTCTTGTCCTATATAATACATACTTTTTTATATAACATATACTTTTAATCCTCTTTTGTGTATGATACACACTGTGTGTATTTGTGTATATATACACATACGTACACATATAGGCACATTTGGTGTCTTCAATTAAGTGATATACAGCAGGTATAGCTGTACATAAACTAACATTTTATATCCCAAAATATAGTATATTTTAGAGAGTACCATTTACTAGGTAAATATATCCTTGAATTCTTTGATACTTTTATGCTTCCTGTTACTATTCATGTATCAGCTATGGATATTGTGAGGTAAGAAGGTTGTAATTAGAACTGTTATGTTTATGACAAAGAGGCTAACAGGAGACTTAGAACCATGTTAGATATAACCAAATATAAAAACATTGGTGATAGATTGGAGATAGTAAAACTTGGTTTGTTCAACGTATTAAAACTAATTTTTAGTTAGGTATACTATTTATTGTTTGTCATATGAGATCTTTCTGAAGTGTATGCTTTTGTTTTACGAGTTGCAGCATTTTTCTAGGGAGAGGAGGTTATTAAACAAGGTAAAAATATAAATTAGAATTCAGAGAGGTGATTGATTATATAGGAAAATTTGATGTATTTTATTTGAGGGGACAAATGTTTTAGGAGTATTTTTTTCTAAAAAGCGGTTCTGTATTACAAATCCTTATTGCAGATTTCCGTTTTCTTTTTTTTTTTTTTTT